CAACTTCCTATTTCCTCCCCTCATTTCCTTGCACTTCCTTGCATTTCCCCAGCATATTTCCCGCAAAAAACACGGTTTTTCCAGCGTTTTCGCAAGGACGTCCAAAAACACGCAGTTTTTCCAGATTTTCGGCAAACGGAGGCAGGAAACCCAAACCAGCAAAGAGCCGGCAGGGGGATTCAAGCCTGGGACCCCTGTTTTGCGAAACCGGCTCCCCGAAGACTATACGTTCAGTGGAACGTCATCAATTTACCGCGCGGCACGCGGGGGACCCCCCGCCTGCACCCTAGTATCAGACATCGGGGCGGGGGGGGGGGGGTTTAAGGGGGGGGTTATCCTCTCTATCCTCTCTTAGGTGTCCGAAACGCCGAGCAATGTCGGCGGACAAACAAACAAACACACAAACAAACAAACAAACAAAACACAAACAAACACAAAAACTCAGGATACAAAACAGAAGCAAAACAAACAGCACGAACAAACACGACACACACACACACCCATCAAAACCAACCAAACAGCAACAAGCAATCCCAGACAAGCAAACAAACAAGCAAGCAAGCAAGCAGGCAAACCAGCATACAATCAAACCACAAACAAGCAAGCAAGCAAAGAAACAAAGAAAGAATCCAACAAAAAGCAACACACACACAATATCAAACCAACAAACAAGCAAACTAGCAGCAACAAAACGACACACAAACAAAAACAAACAAACGAACAAGCTTAAACTGCCAACAAACAAACAAACAAGCAAAGAAACAAACAAACAAACAAACAAACAAACAAACAAACAAACAAACAAACAAACACACAATAAACAGCCAATAACAACAAATCAAACGAGCGAACGAACAAACAGACAAACAATCAAACAAACAAACAAACAAACAAACACGCAAAACAAAACAACACAGGCAATCACGCCAACTAACGAACAAACAAACAACCATCAACTCAATCGCAAACAAACCAACAAACAATCAATCAAACAAGCAAAGAAGCAAACAACCAAACAACAAACAAACGAACAAACAAACAAACAAATAAACAAACAAACAAACAAACAACAAAGACGCAAACAAACAGTTAAACCGTCCATCAACCGTCACTCACCCTGTCAATCAAGCACTCAGACACTCACTCACTCGCTCGCTCGCTCACTCGCTCATTCACTCACTCACTCACTCACTCACTCACTCACTCACTCACTCACTCACTCACTCACTCACTCACTCACTCACTCACTCACTCACTCACTCACTCACTCACTCACTCACTCACTCACTCACTCACTCACTCACTCACTCACTCACTCACCTCACTCACTCACTCTCACTCACTCACTCACTCTCACTCTCACTCACTCACTCACTCACTCACTCACTCACTCACTCACTCACTCACTCACTCACTCACTCACTCACTCACTCACTCACTCACTCACTCACTCACTCACTCACTCACTCACTCACTCACTCACTCACTCACTCACTCACTCACTCACTCACTCACTCACTCACTCACTCACTCACTCACTCACTCACTCACTCACTCACTCACTCACTCACTCACTCACTCACTCACTCACTCACTCACTCACTCACTCACTCACTCACTCACTCACTCACTCACTCACTCACTCACTCACTCACTCACTCACTCACTCACTCACTCACTCACTCACTCACTCACTCACTCACTCACTCACTCACTCACTCACTCACTCACTCACTCACTCACTCACTCACTCACTCACTCACTCACTCACTCACTCACTCACTCACTCACTCACTCACTCACTCACTCACTCACTCACTCACTCACTCACTCACTCACTCACTCACTCACTCACTCACTCACTCACTCACTCACTCACTCACTCACTCACTCACTCACTCACTCACTCACTCACTCACTCACTCACTCACTCACTCACTCACTCACTCACTCACTCACTCACTCACTCACTCACGCACGCACGCACGCACGCACTCACTCACTCACTCACTCACTCACTCACTCACTCACTCACTCACTCACTCACTCACTCACTCACTCACTCACTCACTCACTCACTCACTCACTCACCCGCGCGCGCTCACTCACTCACTCACTCACTCACCTCACTCACCTCACTCCCTCCCTCCCTCCCTCCCTCACGCACGCACTCACTCACTCACTCCCTCCCTCCCTCCCTCACTCACTCACTCACTCACTCACTCACTCACTCACTCACTCACTCACTCACTCACTCACTGCCTCGCCCAATCAATCAATCAACCAATCAATGAATCAATCCGTCAATCAACCAATCAACCACTCAATCAAACAAGCAAGCGAACAAAGCGACGCAACACAACACAACACAAGACACGCACACAGTGACGCACACAGCGCGCGCACATTCGCAAACTCAGACGCACGCACACGCCCTATCCTTGCGATTGGTTTGTTGCCCGCACCACACTGGGCTCGGGGGAACCTAACACTTTGTGTGTTTAAGTGTGTTTACCACCTGACGTTTTAGGCGGGTGGCTTTTCGTTGAGGGTACTTGCGCAGTGCACGTTTTAAAGTTGATGTTAAGAGAAAGTCCAAGAGAAGCCGAAGAGAAACCACCCTGGTGGGTCCCTCGTTTTGCAAACCCAGGAGAGGTGAAGATGCCTCGGAGCTGGGCCTTCGTGGTGGCATCTAGCGGGGTGCTGGCTGAGAAGACGGGGCCGTTGTCTTAGAAGGGGGATGCGAAGACATATTCAGAAGGATATGTGACACATGTGGGCAGATCTTCGAGATAGACGTACAAGATGGCATGGGGCCAGGCATTTATTCACGCGTACTGCGGGGGGGCGGGGAGGGGGGAGGCCTGTTAAGCAGTGTTTGGCAACATGTGTTTACACAACAAACCCCTGGTCCACTCTGAAGGGAAACCAAAAGGAGCTGGTTTGCACAATGATGTTTGAAATGTGTTCTAGACGGCAAGTTGAGTTGCCCAACCCTTTGCTTGAGGGACAAGATGAACAACTACAACGACGCAGCGACGCTGGCGGCTGATGCTGCCAAGGCCTTCAAAGAATCCCAAGGCCAGGATGGCAAAACCCCAATCATGCTGCTGCTCCCTCAATCAGATTTTCACTTCCAACCAGTTGCCTTTTCGGACACCTGCAACTGTGCTGTATTGGCAGAAAATTCAACCCGCTGAGGTGCATGAGGTTTGGTGAAACGATTTAGTCGGTGGTTCATTTGGAAGGGACATTCTCTAAATCTCCCCAAATCCAGGGATGTCGCATGTCATGCGGTGCTCTCAAAATAGGGACCCTTTAAAACCACCTGAAAAAGGCCAGCATAAATAAAAAGGCACACCCATGCCCTCTTGGGGCAACCAACATGTCTGCCGGTGGCTCACGGTAGTTTTTTTCCACGCGGAAGTCTCTGAGGCCTGGCTTCCGGCTGCGAGGATTTGGCGAGCTGCGTGCGGCACTGCGGAGAGGATGCCTGCCAGGTGCCCGGCGAGCTCTTGAAAAAAAAAACCGTTTGCCAAACAAATACCTCGACCTTGAAAAAGGCTCCGAAAAAATGCAGAAAGGAAAGAAACCGGAGGCAATTTCACTTTGTGGCCCGGCTTAAGATCACCCAACTACCAGCTGATTCAGAGGACCCCCTTGTAAATCAGGTGGTTTTGGATGTATCATTCAAGGAGTCAAACTACCCTCAAACATGTTATGTAGCAACAAAATGCGGCAGTTTCCAATTATTACGGGTAGTTGGGGGTCCGGGTAGCCATTTTGGGTTGTGTTCAGCAAACCGAAGCCCATTCCCTCGTTTAGAAGCTACCCCGATAAAAGTTGTGTTTTTCCTGATCAAGCAAAATGTCAGCCGCGGAAGGCTCGCGGAAGGTTTGCACTAAATTAAAGAGAATGAACATTACGACTATATGTGCCACAATCAAAACCCGGATGCAATTCATGACTGATCGCCGGAGAGCTGCTTTGTTTCGACTGGTCTTGAGCCGCTCTGAGTGAGTCCCATGGACTCTTTCATTCACAGTCACAGCTAGCCAAAGTCTGGGAATCTGCAGCGCTTGCCAGGAGGGGGTTTGAGAATGATGCACGTGTTGTTTGAGACCGCTTATATTCTTGGCATTGATCCAGCGGGACATCCTGCAAGGATACAAATACCCAATCCTCAAAAGTCGCGAATATACGTCATATTTTATGTTCTAAAGACTCTTTTATTGCTGCTCAGCAAGAGCACGGAATAGAGAGATTGCCGGCTTGGCATCCGCGAGATCCGAGGCGAGCGGATTTCGGAAGTGGTCCGAGCCAAAGGCTCGACTGGGCGGCAGGAAACAAGATGTCCCAAGGGAAATCGAGGGGAACCATGCCGCATGAGCGGCATGGGCTAAGTGGACGATCTCCTAGTTGTTCAGCGTCGCCCTTTCCTTTCTGGTCAGTTGATGCCCCATAAATGAGCACCCACAGCCGGGTGTGCTCTTTCCGCTAGGTCAAGTGGAAAGGCTCTTGAGCTGAGCTTCTTGAGAACTCAATTCATCATTCAAAATGGGACATATGTTTGGGTCAAGATCCCACCTGGACGATGCAAGTAATGCCAAACATGAACCCGCCATGTTGCAAGTAACGCCAGAAAGGAACCGCCAGAAACCACACATTTTTTCGTGGTGCCCATTTCGGGTCCCGCCCGGCCTCCATCTGTGGGAAACATGTCAAAAACTCCTCGCTTACCATGAGGCGACAACCTGGAGGTCCGCTTTCGACAGTTCTTCACTGAGAACGAGGCCGGGCAGCCGGTGGAAACGCCATGCCAAAACGGATCGTCCAAAATGCCAGGTGGCTACGGGTCAAAATGAAACCGCCAGGGGACCGCAGGTTTTAGTGTTTGGTTTTATTTACCAGGGCTCCATTTAGGGTACCTATTTTTGACCCATAGCCAGGTACTTACATGCGTTGGTGCTTGTGTGTGTGTGTGTGCGCGCATGTGTGTATCGTTGAGGGTACCATGTTCAGGTTGGTTTAAAGGGAAGCAACAAGGACAATCACTACTTCTGGGGCCCCGATACCCACATGGGTGAACCATTTTTCAGGCAGGGACTGGTTTGTTTGGACTGTAGGCCTGCTGGTTTTTACAGAAATGCACGACAACATGACATGGGACTTATCGAACACTGGCTCCTTTCGCAGCAACTTGCAAGGTCTGCGTTCCCGGTGTGGCGGAGGCTCGGGAAGTTCAGAGAAGTCTAGACTTGCCCTCGTTGCAATGGAACTTGACAGCGAGGTTGCTGGAACTGGTGTGTTTCATGTGTTGGATGCCAAGTATTGATGTCGATGAGGGAAAGGGCAAATCCACCTTCTCGACCATTAGACAAGGGTTGGTGTGTTGGCAGGCCCTTGGTCCATTTAAGGGGCAACCTCGAATTGAACTCCACGTTGTGGTTTGCAGGATGCAGGGAACCCGCCCAACAAGTAACTTCGAGATCCGTGATGCCCTTGAAGGGACTCCCAAAACAGGGGGAAAGTATTGACCAACAACTAATCGATTGAATGTCAGAGCTTAAACAACTTGCAGGATCCTAAGGTGACATTTCCCAAAATTTTGCATCCCTACATACTTTCAATTACTTTACCCCTTACGTGGAACAATTTAGACATTGGAGAATCAGATCCAAGAGACCAAAACACCGTCCCGCATGACGGGCTTTTTGTCCCTCCTTTGCCCTCGCTTATAGCGAGGCTATGTGGTTGCGAGCCTCACGTCAACTGACCGGTGGTTAAACCCTGCTCCAGCGCTTTTTGAAGGTGTCGGTTCCAAGGGAAACCAACCGGAAACCAAGCACCGCCCAAATTTGAGACATATTTTGAGGAACAGGGGAGATGAGTGCAGATTCCTTCTATGCCACAAGGGCCCCAGTGGTGTTCCTGTTGACTCGGGCTTGGAGGCCTTTGCTGCTGCTGATGCAAAGCGCTTGGGCGAGCTTGCAGGGCGCCAAGACAAAACCATCCCGTCCCTGCAGCCCATGGATCCAGACGTTTGTCCTTTTGTTTTCTTTTTTTTTCCGAAGGGTTCAGTTGGCCTTCTGAATGGGAATGAAACGTGATATACAACACCAGACACCGAGAAGAGGTGTTTGCTTCTTTTTTTGGGGGGAAGGCGGTACTTTTTGTCCTGGGCTTTTGAGCCATGCTGGTAGTTTGCTTGAGCCATGCTGAGTCCCGGTTCAGTGGCTTTCGTCTCCTGTTGTTTGGGTCCATGACACGTTCTGGACCCCAGATGGTTCCTCATGTTTCCAGCTGTCTCTGGGCAACTGGGAGGGGTGTCCATACTTGCGGTATGCGGCATCAGTCGAGACAAAAGAATAGCTTGGTTCAGCCGCACACCGGAAGGAAGAAATGGCAGGTATTGGAATCCAATGGAATCCCTGAAGCAGAAAACCACTTGGCAGTCGTGGCATGCAACATCTCTCGTTCAGGTGGACCTGTCACAACAGGAGGGCGATAAGGGTTTGCAGTCAGCCTGCCATGTTTCTGCGACGCCGCTTGCTTTACCTGGGTTAGCACGCCTCACTGACTCACCTCACTTTTACCACGAAAGACCATGGGGATCAAGGCTCTTGACCTGTTTGTGAAGTCTGACATCAGCCCGCCAGGAATCTGGTGCCCGAAACCCGGTGGCTGCCGCAGGAGGCGCTTGTGCACCTCTTGTGTTCTACATTCTCTGGGCTCGGCAGTCAACCGAATCACCGCCCGGCTGGCCTATTCCGTCACGTGTTTGCTTTCCTCCGGTTGGACAGGTATCAGCATGGTTCGAGCAAGGATATCAGGGTGCGTCCACAGTGTGCTTCCCAAAATATCACGTGGCTTGCTGGATCCCAGGTCACCTCCACTGGATCCCAGGTCACCTCTCGCACTTGGGCTGTTGCATCGTAGCAGCACCAGTACTGGAAGTAGTACTAGTGCTGGTGAAAGACTAGTACTAGAGTCTCTATAGTACGTATGCGTTTGCGGGGAAGTTGAGTTGGTTGAATGGTTTCACAGAATTTGAGGCGCAGAGTCCTGTTCATGTATTCTGTGAAGCTTAAGACCCTCAAGTTGCAGCCTTCAGGTCCCTGGCGGTTTCCCGTAGGGCACAGTCTCCAGGAGTTGGACCATTGTTGAGACAGGCGAATTCACTGTTTCAACAACCCCTTTTTGGGTTGTCTGACTCCTAAGCATCCTCTGGTTCTTTCAACCCATGTCGGGGAAAAAAACAAAACACGACTCTTTGGATAGAACCGCGCTTTGTCTTGGGTTTTTCTTGGGTTCCACCGATTTGACGGCTCAAAATGTTGTTGTGGGCTCCACCGATTTGATTTGATGGTTCAACCGGCTTTGGGGTTCGAGGCGCGGCGCCTGGGCGCCCTGGCCGCCTCGGCCTTCGGCGCGGGCTTCGGGGGCTCCGTCTACGCGGCTCGGTCGAAGGGGCATGGGGAGCGGGGGTGGGGCTGCTGAAAAAGCCGACATTGCCGGTTTCCAAGGTGGTAGTCTTTGGTTCCATTTGCCACTGGGCGAAAGCGGATGGCAGAGTTCCCGCCTTGTAGGGGATTTGTGCCATCTACATCCGCCCAGCTGCAACGTTCCCCAAGGAAGCACGTGGGGTCGCAGACGGCGCCAGTGACTTTCACTTTCGCCCTTGTCCAGATGGGTTTTGCTTTGTCGTGCACAGAACCATTTAAGAAAAACGTGCATCGGCCTCGGCATTCTGACAACCTTTCCTGGGATCAGTCTTGACCAGGTTTGGCGATTCAACACCCTGGTTTTCAACATGTTTAAACACAAACTCACATATACCTTGTTTTTCCCAATTTGTTGTTTAAACATGTCTCAGCACCAATTCCCCCCACTATTCTGTGAACATCCTCCTTTTGGTTCTCCTTTAAAGGGCCCGGGACTGAGGGGTGGGTTCTTTTGTTCGAAGCAAAGGCAGTGGTGAATTTCGCCGATGCCGGGCACTTCCTTGACAGCTGGAAGGAGGCGTACGTCAAGGCCGGGAAAGTTGGGTACGGTTTGTGAGCCGAGGGAAGTCTTTTCGGGATGGGCGTCCGTCCTAATTTGGCATCAGATATAAATGGTGATGTCTGTGCAGGTGACAGCTTTTAGGAGGGCTTTCCCCTGAACCTCCAGTGGGTTGCATTTGAGTTTGGCTCGTTGTTTGAGGCTCTGTTCCCCTTTCAGATTGGCTGAAAGAGAAACAGGAACACTGAAATCCATTTTTTGACCTCAAGGCGACCCTCTAGCGCGCTTCCATTTTTTGTTCCCTGCTTTGTGGAGGGTGTATCTTTCAGTGGGGCTGGTTTTTTCTTCGGAGTCGCGTTAAATTAGACCGATACAGGGTACGGGCCCCCAGAAGACACCCACATAGCACAGCCGAGCATGACAGCTGACAGGAGTTTCCAGAAAGATCATCCACCTGCGAGTTTTTCATCACGGCTCACTTCTCAGCTGCGGCTCCAACTGACGTCAGCGAGCCTGATTTGGTTTGAGAGACTGCCATGAGTTGCTTCTTTGAACTTGGGCTCTCAAAGTTATCAATCGGGCTTCGCCCTAGATGGGCAGCCAGTGTTGAATCAGCCAGAGTCTCCGTGTGAACGCCAGCTTTTCTTCGTGCTTTGGTTCAGGTCTGATTCTCCACAGGTCTGAGACCGGAGTATGGCCCTGGAGAAGTTGTACCCCAATTCATGGTGCTATGTTTTTTCCTGTGGAACCAGGGATACATCATGACCGTCCTTTCGGGCCAAGGCGCCATGCGGCGGCGCTGAGCAGGCGGGAAGCGGGAAGCAGAGCGGCCGCACTGTTCACTGCCAATTCACCCGACGGATTTGGATCGCTGCTTTTCAACCAGGGCTATTCATCCCAAGGCAACTGGTTGTGTCCCAGTTTTACACACGGCAACGCAGCGGCCAGGTTGTCAAAGCCGCCAGGAAGGACCCGGAAAGCGCCATGAAGCGCCCGGCAAGCGCCATGAAGCGCCCGGCAAGCGCCATGAAGCGCCCGGCGAGTGTCCAGAGTAAAGCTGCAAAGCGACCAGCCAGAAGATGACGGGAAAAGCCAAAAGGATTGGAGGTTTTGCTTGGCGTGAATGAGCATGGGTCAACACCGGCACTTTTAGCATGCCACCCGGATACCTTCAAACTCAAACACAAGGGCTGGCTGCCGAGTATGTGACTCCGACCTAAGCCGCATACCTGCCGTATCATGCCTTAAGGCCATTGCATAGCCTTTGGATAGTTCTATTTGCAGGCACAGTGCACTCAATCTGCCTGAGATGTGGTTAGCTCGCTATGCTTCCGCACTTGGTCTTTTTCGCGTGGTTTCATTAGACAGAAACTGAGCCATAGGGAGACCGAACGGGGACAGGGCTCTGATGAAGGAGGGTTGTTGGCCATGCAAGACAAAAAGATGTGGCAAGTGCCGGCCGCGTTGACTTGCAAGACCAACAGGTGTCACGCAGTTGCAGAACAAAGGCAAGGCAGGCGAGATGGTAGATGAATCCAAGTTGCTCCTTGCATAGTATATACTCGCCGACCATTTGGGCTCTGGGTACGCTTGACTGCTAGCCTGCTTGCCCATACTAGTTTTGAAAACACGATGAGACTGAAGAAAAGAGAAGGGACGTCAAGTTGACGCAGAGACTTGGCATAATTGCAGCATTCACGCTTTTGATCTGCCATTGTAAATTGTTCTCGGCAAAAGATCGCGACCAAAGCAAGTGAAGAGCCAGCCAATGTGCCAGCTTATGTCCTGCCAATTCGAGTATTGCACATCCTCTAGCTCCGCCAAGAAAGATCAAAACAAGCAGCTTGCCACAGAAAGCCAGCCGGAACAAGTTGTGTGATTATCTAGAGTAAGGTGCACGCAAGAGCTGTGTGCCCCCAGGCGTGGGATGCTTGCTGGTGTTTCAGGTTGTTGCTGTTGCTTTAACTGCGAAAGATATGTTGTCCAAACCTGCTCAAAGTGTAAGTAAATGTAGTTAGTTTATGCTTTTTTGGGTTTCTCTCGACCAGCACCCACTCGTTCTCGCTCACTGCAGGCGGGCATGACGCTCAGACGCACCGTTGCTGCCTTCGCATTTGCTTGTGTGGGCCTGAATGTATGCAGTGTACAGCCTTCACCAACATGTGAGTAGCATGTTATTGTTTCAGTCGGTGGCTTCATGAACTGGCTTTGCCGCCGTGCTTTTAGCCAGCCAACTATATATAGATAGCTTAGATAGCGGCACACACTGTATCACACAAGTGCCTTCGCAGACCTTTCGGAAGTTTCCCCGACACAAATTCTGGACCCGCAAAGCCCCCAACATAGGCTCCGCGAAGAAGCATCGTGATGACTACAGCAGCATCCTGGCGCTGCCGGCAGCATCATGATGAAACGGCACGCGCAGATCTCCAGGCGCCGCATGCGAGCAAAGACCTCATCATAGTGATTCCAACCTCTCGCTGTTTCTGGCAGCGTTTTGATTCAAGACAGCATCATGATGATACCGCAACCACGAAGCGCCACATGCGACACAGTAGCGGAAACAACGCAGTAACGAATTGGGGCAGCATCCTGCAGATATTGCATCATGTCCACAGCTTGCCAAAGCATCTCCAGCAGCATCGTGGCGCTGCTGGCTGCATTGACACGCTACGCACAAATCACTGTGTGCGCTGCTCGCACAGACTTCAGAATGGTTTTAACATTTTGCTGTTTCTGGCAGCGCTTTGATCACACCACAGCCACAAATCAGCTTGAGCACACCAAACTGCACTGTGACCAGGGCTACACGGCACCCTGACCACACAACAGCACCCTGCCTTGTCAAGGCCAAACAAGCTCCGCCAGCAATTGCAACCGGACCTCTAGCATACCAAGTAGCAGCCTGACTCGCACCTGGCCAGAACTCGCAAAACAGCCTGCCCCTCTTTACAAGTAAGAACCCCTTATGGCTGAAGAATACTGCTCATGAATGTGAAATCGCAGAGACCCTTATCCAAGTCAGTGTAGAGTTCTGTCAGCAACTTGCATCCAAATCACTGGCTTGTCAGACCAACACTTTTTCACAGGGACTAACTCGAATGTGAGGGCGTGCAGGACAAGGCTCCCAGTAAGAGTGCTGAAATTGTTGCCTTTGAGTTCAAAGACAATATCAACTCAGGTCCCGAAGTACCCTAACAAGTACCCTAAGCTATCCACAGTATCGATGAACAGAAGCGTCATTGATTGCAATTGAATCGCATGTATATCGCCGACCGTCATGTTGGTTACATATTGCTGCAAGGTCTGCCAAACCCTGTGCAATGCAGCCCCGACACTTTCGGGAGCCTCTTCAACAAGGCACGCATCTTGCAGGGGAGAGGTGGCGCTGGAGAGTTGCTGCACCGCAGCTATTGATACTGTGGATGGACGAATCCTGCACCACTTAAGAAGCCCTGGAATGATGGTTTCCCCTGTAAATACCAACAAACAATGGTTTCCCATGGATGGTTTCAAAGGATTCGTCAATCCACAGTATGAAAATCAACAACTCACTCCCGCCTGTGCTTGACGTTGCGTGCTTGCCGAATGTTGTGCATTTGTTGAGCCAGGCGTTCCTTGAGCAGTTGCAAGGCTCTGAGCAGGCCTGATAGCCCAGAGGGATCTTGCTGCTCAGTCAGCGACAAGCACGTTTGAGGTTCGGTCAAAGTATCTTGATTGGTCCATTGGGGACGAGCTCTAAATGTATTGTGTAGGGGACTCGTTAGTTTTCACACTTTCTCAACGGCAAGCGCGTTTGCTGCAGGGGTCTCAAGATTCAGGGTTTGTCCATGCTCACGCTCGAATACTTGGTTTATTGAGTGTCCTTTTGTCACCCTTTCTCAGACCAACAAAAGTTCCTCATTTTGAAACTCACCCACGTGTTTGGCGGCCACGTTAAACGCTATTTGTCGAGCCAGGATTGAGTCGAACACATGCATTTTTGGAGCAGTTGACTACCTTTGCAGTGTATCCTTGGACTTGCGTTGCAGGCCAGAATGTAAGAGCAACATTGGACCCGGTTTCCACAGTCAAAGTGGATGAGGGTGCCTGTTTAGCGTGTTTAGGTTTGGTCACACGTGCATTTGTTTCGCAAGATCAAGTTCCTCGTGGTTGACGGACGGTCTTTTAATTTTCTTATTTGAGGGACTTAGCGACTTAGCGCCCCCTCCCCAATCCGAATAGAGCCTGCTAGCACCCAATCCGGCCAACGCAGGCAGATTAGGGTCGATACTGGGAACCTTTTTGTGGTAAACATCTACCAGTAACCGGGAGCACCTTGTGCCTAAGGCGAAGGTCGTGGAGGTTGTGTTGGCACCTCAGACCTGCGATGCCAGAGGCGCTCAAGGTTTCGAGCTTGCGAGCCAGGGAATGGCACACGAAGAGTTTGGCGTAACGTCATGCAGTTCTTGGACGAAGTTCTACATGCTGGCCCTAGATGTTTCTCTTAAGAAGTA